AAAAGTTATGTGATTGAATATTTCCACATTAAATTCATTGATGTGGTAAAGAAAGTGCCGAAAGCTTATATGATTGAAGATTTCCACAGAAATGTTACTGAGGTAGTAAAAAAATGCGTCAAAAGGTGATGTGATTGATTATTTTCACAGAAATGTCATCGTAGTATAGGGTTCGTGAAAAGGTAATGTGATTGAATATTTCTACAAAAGCATTATTGATGTAGTAAAGGATGTGTCGAAAGGATATGTGATTTGCAAGAATTATCACTGAAATATTAACTAATGCGTGAAATAGTTATGTGATTGAATATTTCCAAGAAACATCACTGAAGTAGTAAATAGTGCATCAAAACAAATATCATTAAAGTAGTAAAGGGTCAGTTAAAAAGTTATGTGATTGAGTATTTCCAAGGAATATCACTGAAGTAGTAAAGGGCGAGTCAAACTATTACGTGATTGAATATTCCCTCATAAGATTCATTGATGTAGTAAAGAAAGGTGAGGTGAATGAATATATCCACAAAAACATCACTGAAGTAGTAAAAAGATGCGTCGAAAAGTTATGTTATTGAATATTTTCACAGAAAACATCATAGATGTAATAGAAAAAACGACAAAAAGTTATGTGATTGAATCTTTCCACTGTAACATCATCGAAGATTAGTAAAATAAGCTTCAAAAGTTTGTGGAGTCAAGGAGTAAGTCTCTATGTCAGGGACGCGATATTTATGGTCGGTGTTTTGTTTCCTTTGATTAAGGATATTTAAGTTAATATAAAAGCTGATAAATACTATTTCTATTAACATGTACTTCGTGCCTTAAGAAAAATAAATATATTGTTTTTACTTTCAAGGTGCATTATTACAAGTGAAGAAAACTTAAAATTAATTACTTCTTTTTTAATTTTTTTAATTTTAAGTGTTTGACTACAGCATTTTAAGAAATAAAAAATTAAAACTATTCAATTCGAAAGTCTGAAAACCACCAATATGGCGTTTTATATGTATTACTCAGCAAAATGGATATCCAAGCGGAAATAAGGAAAACTAATATCCAATTCCTGTCACAAGCGCAGGTGTGATTTCACAGAAATAAGACATATCTTCTACTATTCAAGTCAAAAAAGTTCCTAAAACGAATGAGATTTGAAAAAAAAAATCAACGCATGATTTATATCTATTTAAAGCATACGGTGAATACACACGTGCTAGTAAAATTAATTATTTGTATTTCGAGTTCTAGTCTAAAGGAGAGTAGATGCTAACCTAGTTTGTTCCTCGCTAGGAGAAGAAATATGTGCCAAGGGTTGAATGGCCTACAGAAAGCGAGAGCTGTTTAGTAATACCTAAAGGGTTAGCATAGTTCAGCGAAAGAATGCGCGATCACATATTGTACTTATAAATGTTTAGCCTGAAAATTACACCATCTATTCACATTTATTGTAAAATATGTTTGCTCGCTTCTTGGGTCATAAAGGATAATAACAAGATTAAGAAGAAGTAAGCCATTTTCTTTTGAGAAACATTAATTTGAATGTGAGTTAAAATAATTTCAGGAAAAGCATTTAAAAAGAACAAAAAAGTGCTGGTATGAGATTGTAATCTTAGGCTTAAGACAGCTAGTTAAAAATGTTTTCAAATCCGCCTCAGCTGTGTGGTAAAAGTAATATTTTCCAAACATTGTTGATTTCGGATATTGATACTGAGTTACTCAGCCATGATCGGTGTTTTGTTTCGTTCGATTAAGGATATTTAAGTTAATGTAAAAGCTGATAAATACTATTTCTAAGTTAGTAAAATCTTTATTATACAAGCAAAAAAATCACGTGTTCTCATCCCGAGATCAAAGGAAAACGTATATTGTAACTTGTAAGCCAAGACGAGCAAAGCAGTTTATTTTGTGCAAAATTTTGTCACCTTTTGAGTTTTACGTTTTTATCCATTATTAGAGAATTTTTTTTTTATTTGACTAAGGTTCGTTCCTAGCAAAACCATCTTAATATCGCTCAAAGTTCAAAGATTAAAGACCTCTTTATCTCTGTATATAGCTAGACAAGAGAATAAAACAGAAACAGGCAAGCTTATTGAAGCGTTTAAAATCATTGTTTTCACGAGTTTGGTAGACGTGTAGCGCGAGTGATTAGTAGAAAAAAAATCGATGTTTTTACGAGTGTAATAACATGGTACTATAAGTGGTTAAATTTACTAAATACCACATTCTTAATTTTTAAAAAAACCTTGTTTTACTTGAGTAAGAGGTCAATTTCAAGGAGGTGTAAATGTTAGGACAACACAGAAAAACGAGAGTCAGCTGATTAACAAATTCACAACTTTATGGTTGGTTTAGGCTGTGTATCTGTGATATATGAATGCATTTCTTTATGGACAGCAACAGCCTGCGATACTGATGGCTGATACATCTCGACATTTCGGGTAATTTGTGTTTTCCGTCCTCAGAAAATGGGAAACAGAAATTACCTGAAACGTCGAAATATATGAACCATCATTACCACAGGCTGTCGTGGCCCATAAAGAAGCGTCTTCATATAAACCAATGATTTTGGTTTTGTTGGGGTCGAAGACGAGAGTGGAAGAGTATGTTAAGACCAAGTAGTTTAAAAAATGCCTTGCTACTATCCTCTACAGTATGGTATAAGATTGTGCACCACCTTCAGTTCCATTATTTTCGGTGTTTAAATGTCCACCGTTTGCTTTCAATACACAGTTGAAAGCATTCAGAGATTTCACACTGAACTCCTACAATATTTCAGCATGTCCATAATGTGATCTTGTGTTATATGCTGGCCCATGCATCTGTGACCTAATAAATTTCCATATGTAAAAGTCCACAAGCACTACTTCTTGCAAATGCAGTGACAACTTTAGTGCCCTCTCCACATGTTGCTTATCTAATGGTTTACAAAGATATGATCCAGCCAGTTTGAATTGACCCATAGTAAAATGAGACGAATGTTTGCTACAATGGTTCTAAATGCTTCAAAATTCATGCCACAATCTCCAGGTATATCTCAAACACGATGTTGCCATCAAAAAACGAATGTTCTACGATATAATCATCAAGAAAGTCACTCTCATATTATTAAGTCTGATCTAGCATGGCCTTGGCATCTAAAACAACTTATGATTATTTTAGTAGCAATATGTGTGATGACTCACAACCACAGTATGGTGAGAATTAATCTCGGCACTCCATGTAGTTTCACTAGCAATATGCGAGTCAGCTGTCTTCATTCCTTAATTTTATTAACAATACTATAAGTGGCTGCTTATATCACCACCTCTGAGCTTCTGGTGCAGCAGCAACTTTTAAGGATTGAATATTCCCTAATTTGAAATGCCCCCAGATAATTGCTCAATTAATATCACTTTGTTGAGTACTGATACATGCAGATCCATGAAAGACTGATCACGGCCTTTTCTGGAACTGCTATGATATATTTCTCAATTTGGCAGTCCTGGATTTGCTTGATGGTTTCTTGTCAACAACACTGCTGGCCTTGTGAGACTATTTAACCAGACAAGGGACAATATGATGTAATGTGCCTTAAATAGCCCAAATAGTGTTTGTGGAGCACAATAACAGTCTTCTAGGCACTCTTTTCTTCACTATACTTCAGGACAGTATACATTTTGTTGACTACAAAGGAGATACCATTGGAAAAACTTATCCGCCCTCTTGTTTTCTATAATGATGGGTAACCACTGTGCTTCATACATTTAGTTCATTCCTCCTTTAACGATTAGTGCATGTTATTTAACCTATTAGCACAGTCAGTAAGAGTACTTGTTCTTCGTCAAGTCATTGGACTTGGGATTGAATCCTGGGATATGTTAATGTAAATAATTTCAGGTGACATTATTTATTAGAATATATTACAGAAAAACTGGTGGCTAATGAATAATAAAACTTGTTAGGCTAGATGACAATTTCTATATGTGAAAGGGCAGGAATATGTTAGCCAGGAAGTGTGAGTAATTAAAAAAAGTCTTAGTAATGGATTCGTCAGTAGAAGTGTTAGGTCTTGTTTGGATCCTGCGAAATGAAGGTAGTTGGATGTCACAGAAGTTTTCCTTTGTGCACGAATTGCTGAAAGTAATAATTAAAGTTTTGTTTCTAGTTAAGCACAAAACTACACAGTGAGCTATCTGTGCAGTGCTCACCATGGGTATTGAAACCGGGTTTATAACGTTATAAGTCTTCAGACTTACCACTGAGCCACTGGGGAACGAGTAACTTAATATGGATGCACTTTGAAGTAATGTTCAAGACAAAATGTACGTTTGAAATACTTAAGATTAAATCTACTGTGTATGTTTTTTAATTAAAAGTGAGTGTAAATTATTTAACTGAAACACAATTTTACTTAACTTTTACCTTCTTTCAGAAGTTTAGAGTCATGTTGTAGAGGGAAAAAGAGAAGATTTTTAACAAAGTATTGGCTTTTTTGTTATAACTCCTTTGATAACCCTGGTAATAAATGGTTTAGAAAGAGTAATTATGTGCGGAACAGTTTATTATGAATTTCAAGGGTTTACAGTTGTTGAGGTAGTTCTGTTTCTACTATGCAGCAACACAGATAAAAACCATTTCTATCATAACAATTAAAATATTGTGATCTTTACATGGGTGCAAATAATATTAACTAAAAATGAGCAAAAACCTTACACTCATGAAAGTACATTTCATACAATAGGAGGCATAATTTACTGATTTCACAAATAAAAACAAACTACTCTACTTTACAAGTTATTTATTCCTACATTAAACTTTACAAACACGCCACAGAGTAATTTTGTGGAAAACCCTTACAAAAATGCCTAAAAAACATCACATAACTGTATTATTATAGTATCTATGCTCATTGCAGATGACATAGACTAGTAAGAGTTGAAAAATGTAGGCTGTAGTGTTGCCGAAAGTGAACATTAGTAAACAAGAAAGAGGGAGAGAGAGAGAGAGGAGGGAGTATTGCTTACTTTAATTAGAAAGTTAAAATTTTTACCTGGATACTTGCAATATTGTATGTAAAAACCACTGATCTGCACTTTTCTCACCCTCAAGAACAATCAAGGTGCCATTTCGTAGAAGTACGATGGCAGACAAATGGTTCACATAGTGTAAGATATACTCTCATGATCGGTACACATATTACCAATTACAGCCTTGAATACAAAGTTAGTGCAAACACCTGAGGTTTTTGATCTTCGAAAAACTATCCATAAAATTGAAAAGCACCACCAGGTGGAGAAGTGGCGAGAATTGGTACTTCCGATGTGCTATATGTAGTAATTGTTGTTTTGTAAGGGCTAGTGCTTGTTACAGTACGGTATTTTGTGCTAAAAGCATTGTAAATAAGTGTGTATATCCGAGTACTAGTACTAGTAGCTGTTGTGACAGTCGTATATGATGACGTCACTGTGCTATATTGTTGGGGTATGGGTGGCTGGAGTTGGGTGCCGATCAACTGCTGCAGTTGTTGCTGTTGTTGGAGTGCTTGAGTATTGATAATCGGCTGAACAGTTGTAGTCAACGTCGTAACTGTACGCGTTTTAGTGGAGAGTGACTCAGATAGTGTCCTCGAGCGTGTAATTCGACCGTCGTAGTACCTAACAACCTTCGTGCTATACACAGTGTCAGTGGTTATATAAGACGTCGCCTTTGTAATTGTGGAATACAAAGTTACCTGACGATTCAGCTGTTGCAAGCCTAAATATACAGCTGCAAGGGGATTTTGGTTCAGTGATAACAGTGGGTTAGAGATCTGTAAGGGAAGATTTCTTGAATTTGAAAGTGACAACATTGAAGAATCTAGGTTGGATGCTTCGAGGGGAAGTCGAGTCTGGGGCATTTGCTGTTGCTGAGTCGACTGAGGCGAAAACAAATCATCTTGAAGATCATCTTCCAGACTCGAGTTGAAAGGAAGTTCAACATCTGATTCCAGGGTGTGATTTAGCAGAAAAAGATCATTTGCTGGTAGCGTACGATATGCCGTGATGAGTTTCCGAATGAAGAAACTCTCCGTGATTGTATGCGTAACCGTATCCTCCCCATCTAGAGAAGAAACCAACGAGGTACGTAAGGAATGCTCTGTGGTGGAGTAGGTGCGTGAGAACACGTAGTATGAAGAGCCATCTGTTGACACCAAAGCTTTATTTCTATCTACAGTTTCTGTGGCATCAAGTTCGTAGGACGCCAGCTCAGAAGGTTCTAGTGTACGTTGAAGAGAGGTTGTAATAGTCAAAGTTCGTACGGACTTCCGACGACCCACGTGCAATGTAACCTCACTAGTAATAGTTGCTAACTCGTAAATGACACGTGCTGGATCTACGAACATTGAAGGATCATCAGTAGCATTATCTTCATTTTCTTCTTCCATCTCTTCTTCTTCCTTTGTTTTTAGATTGTCTTCTTCCATCCCCTCATCAAGTCGACTCGTCAGCTTGACTTTGAACCGATTTAGTTGGACCTAAGATACAAATTTAAAATATAGGCTATTTTTTGTGTTTCAGCTCAGAATAACAAACCTTTACAAAAGTGTTTTACAGATTATATTCTCATTTGAACTGTTACTAATAAATCATTCACATTATTTATTACTTGGCTGTTTCATTAAAACGTCAACATCATCTTCACAAACAGGACCAGCTGTACTGCCGTTAACTTACCGTATGAGTGTTTCTTTGTCGAGGTATATAACGAAATCTTTCTGTCGACCTTCTCAAAGTATGCAACTTGATGAAAGTGTTTTCTTGATTTGAAGGCTTGGACGTAGTTGGACGCAATCTAAATTGTGGCCTACTGGAGGTACTCTTAAGTCCAATGTCCAGCGACTGAGTAGGATTGCTTGATAGTTGAAGACCAGAGTCTACAGGTTTAAAGGAGGACTGCAGCACAGTGTTGCTAGCAATACCATTGTCTTTCTTCTTATCAACGATTTTATGTTTTTGATCTAGAATAGCAAATTCCGTTGCAGAAGTTTGCCTTTGGTTCGTAAGCTGTGGCGATTTGTTTTTGGCAGCTGAAATAGAACTACTTGTTGAAAACTGTATGACCTTTGTTGCAGAAGGCTTAATTTTGTTTTGGACTGTTTCCACGTGGCTTGAAGTGTCTGACCATAAGGAACCTAGCCTGGAAGTACTCTGTAAAATTTGGGCATATTTTCCATCGATGTAGGTCCCGATAACGCTTGTCTCGTGTACCATTGTAGTCCCATCTTGTACACTTTTTCCTGTGACTACAGTTACCAGCCCAATAGGATATTGTGGTAAAGCAGGAGTGAGTTGCTGAGCAACAGTACCGGCCACTCGCGTGGTTGTGGTAATGGGTAACTTGTTAAAAGACCCAAGTGTAGACGTCTGAGTATGAACAGACTGTGAGTCCTCTGAGGGAAGAGCGTTATGTAGAAGCTTGGGACTGTAAGAATCCTTCAGTACGTTTTCAAGGTCTTGATCTGGTTTCAATATTCCATGTGTTTGGGTGTAAGCGAGATCCTGAATTTCCGAATTTTCTGCATTATCAGGTACCGTGGTTGACGGTATTGAAGGAATAGTCCTAGAAGGAGATGGTAAATTATCTGTTTTGCCAGGTTTGGCAGGTGTGAATACAATGACGGTGTTGTCAACAGTTGTTCTGAAGTTCAGAAATCCTCGTACTGTTATAGTTGGAAGAATCTCCGCTTCTTCTGAATTGACTATCCACACTGAAAGGATGAACAAATTTATTTTTTAACACATTTGAAACTTTTTTCTATAAAAGTACATATAAGTGAAAGAGTTCCTAGTCATTGAAAATATGAGCCCAAGTTTAAAAAATACTTACCTACAAAAACGAATTATATAATAATATATATAGCATTTCTTGCCTATAGATGTATAACAGTTTCTGCCTACAGATATATAACATATATATATCAACACTTCATGCCTACAGATGAATAATATACACATATATATATCAACATTTCAAGTGTTTAGATGTATAATACACACACATATATATATATCAACACTTTAAGTCTTTAGATGTATAATATGTAACATTTCCTACCTATAGATGTATATCAACACGTTTCATTTGTTTAGCATATAACATTTATTGCCTATAGATGTATACCACACGCATATATATATATATATATATATATATATATATATATACTACTATTACTATATTGTAGATCGACCGACGGACACACGAGGGTAGAG